GCAGGGGCAGACGTGCACTCGGGGACACACTCAGGGACACACTCGTCTCCATTCCCAGCCCTGGGACTCCCGCTGCCTTTCTCAGTGGGAATTTCCTGGTGAAGCCTTTCTTCTCCTCGTGGAGCGGTTCCCTCTGAAGCCACCTTTTCCCCAGGGCTGAGCTTGCTCCGGATCCTGGGGGAATAATGCCTGTTTTCATGGTCCCAGAGCTGAGGAAAAGCCACGGGCTTCCCAAAACCCCAGCGGGCTGCTTGCCATGCTCACTGGCATGTGGCTGGCACAGCCAGAGGCCAAGCAGGGGGAAGAGAGCCAGGGCCAAGGCTCCCCGGGATGGTATCTTCTCACAAGCCCCTGGATGGCCTCCTCCTTGCCTCTATCCATGGATCTGCTTCTCCCCTGCCCGCGGAGCCGGCAGCAGGCCAGGGAGGACGCGGCGCCAGGCTGCCTGCACGCAGTGCCCACAGCCCTGCCTCTCCCCGCGCCCGGCGGTGCCAGCGGGACGAGATAATGGAGCAAGAGGCAGGGGGGAGGACGCGGGCACTCGGGAAGTGCATGAGGGGACAGGCCCTTTGCAGAGGGTGTGTGTGAGCGGAGGGAAAGCCCTTTGGAGCCTTTCCCCATTCCCTCCACCCCTTCCCGGCTCCAGCGAACGTGACTCATGAGCCAGGCATCCCTCCTGGCCTTGAACACCCTCCGAACCCACTGCCAGAGCCCGCCCGGTCCTGGATCCCACCAGTCCCAGCGCTTGGGGACACTGGGAACAGCCTGCCCCGAGATCACTGACTGGGGACCCAGAGAGAAGGCGTTCACCAAAACAACAGGATTCTGTCCCAAAATGGCTCAGCCCACTCCCAGGTCACAAGGCAGTGCTGTGTGGGGCTCTTTGCCCCCAGGGGCACGAGCTCCAGGACCCCAGCAGAGCCCACAGGGCACAATCCAGCATCTCAGGGGGAGGCTGTGTACCCCTTTTTTGGGGGGGGGGCAGGAACACGGCAAGCAGCCTGCCCCGTCCCTGCAAGGTGTGGGGCCAGGCAGCCCACTCTCACAGCCCCACACCGTGCCCCATGCCATGCCCTGGCCCTGCTGAGCGGCTGGGCAGTGCCATGGGGCTGTTTGGCCATGGCTGTCCTGGCGCCTCGGGGCCGCAGGGTGAGGTGCTGCGTGCCCAGCCCCACGGATCCGGCTGTGATAACGCAGGGAAGGGCAACGGAGCTGCCCAGGTTGGGCCACGGTGCCACCGGCCACTGCAAATATTAACTTTGGCCCCAAGCAGGATGTGGGCTCCCAGAAAGGTTTCTCCCCGTGGTGGCCAGCTCCCAGCTGGAGAAGCTGGTCTTGTCTCCTTGCAAGCCCTCAGACGAGGGCTCAGACACGGGATCGGGGCCGAGGGCTGGCATCTTCTGGGGCACAGGAGCCCCTTTCACAGGGTCTGTGCTGCAGGCACCTTTGCACACTCAGGGGAAGGAACAGGGATGCAGACCCATGCCCCAGGCAGGGTTGGGGGTCCCCACAACAGGCAGAGCTGCACCCTGACATTTGCTCCACGGCATTTGGAGCAGCCTGTGATTTCCCCAGGTGCTGACACCCCGAGCTGCCGCTCTTGGGCATCCATGGGTGGCAGCTGGAGCTGGGCTTGGACAGGCAGCAGGACACTGCTGCTCCACTCCCCTCTCGGCTCCCCAGGGTATCCCCCCCTCCTTCCACGTGTACCAGGGGGCTTGCTGGTGAGCCCGGAGCCCTGGCAGTGCTCCAAACATGGGTATCCCCAGGTATTCACTGCAGTGTCACCGAGACACATGGCTGAGCTAGAAAAGCAGCTATTTAGGTACAGATGGTCCCTGCAGAGATGCCTGTGCCCACGCTGCCAGCTCTGCTGGGGAAGGGCTGTTGCAAGAGCAGCTTTTTTGGGGCTGGCAGCACAGCTGTGGGGCTGCCTGGTCCTGTCTGGGGGACAGCGTGGGGGACAGCCAGGCTGGCAGGGCGTCTCTGCCGCTCCTGGCTCTGCCAACCCTCACCGTCCCCCTCAGCCATCCCTGGCATCTCGCAGGGCCCTGCCACAGCATGGAGGGGCTTCGGGCACTGGGTGTCCTGCTGCTGTCCTGCCTCCTGCTGCCCTCACCCGCGGGCACCCAGACCAGCCCCAGCCCCAACCCTGACCAGCGTTTGGTGACAGACCCCGAGGAGGCACCATCCCATCACCACGCAGCCAGGTGAGGGGACCCCGGGGCCGGGGTGTTTCACAGTGGGGGCCGGGGCAGCCCTGGCACCGCAAAGGGCCCCGGCCCCCACCCGTAGCTCCCTGTTGCGCTTTGCTTTTTTGCCCTCCCCAGTGCCACGCGGGAGCAGAAGCCCGACGGTGCCCAGGAGGGGCTGCCCCCCCGGCCCCGCTGCGTCCGCTGCTGTGAGCCGCCCGACCAGCACTTCTCCTACCCCCGGTACCAGCCCCTGCCCCAGATCAACATGACCATCCTGAAAGGTGAGGACCGGTGGGACCCCGCGCTGCTGGCTCTCTGTGCTCCCAGTGTCACACAAACTGGGAGCGAGAAGCTGGGGCTGGTGCCTGTGGTCCAGTGCCCTGCACAGGCAGAGGGAGGGTGGGCAGGGGACACACCGGGCCACCGGGTACCCTGCTCTGGTGGCCTCTTTGCAGGCAGCAGCAGCAGAGCCCAGGGAGGGGGCATCCCTGCTCTCTCCATCCCTTTCTGTTGAGTCAAGGGGCTTCCAGGGCAACGGGTTTAGAGATGGCACCCACTTCTGATCGTGCAACCGGCCTCTTGCTTTGCCCAGGAGAAAAGGGGGACCGCGGCGAGCGAGGCATGCAGGGCAAGTACGGCAAGACAGGGGTGGCCGGCAGCAGGGGCCACGCGGGTCCCAAGGGCCAGAAGGGCAGCGTGGGCGCCCCGGGGGAGCGCTGCAAGAGCCACTACGCCGCCTTCTCGGTGGGCCGCAAGAAACCCCTGCACAGCAACGACTACTACCAGCCCCTCATCTTCGACACGGAGTTCGTCAACCTCTACGACCACTTCAACATGTTCACGGGCAAGTTCTACTGCTACGTCCCCGGGATCTACTACTTCAGCCTCAACGTGCACACCTGGAACCAGAAGGAGACGTACCTGCACATCATGCGTAACGGGGCGGAGGTGGTGATCCTCTACGCCCAGGTGAGCGACCGCAGCATCATGCAGAGCCAGAGCGTGATGCTGGAGCTGCAGGAGCAGGACGAGGTCTGGGTGCGACTCTACAAGGGCGAGCGTGAAAACGCCGTCTTCAGCGATGAGTACGACACCTACATCACCTTCAGCGGCCACCTCATCAAGTACAGCGGGGACCCCTGAGCTCCCCCTCCCCGGGGGCGGGTGTCCGAGGAGCCGCTGCCACCCCCTTGCCCAGGGCATGCCCCCCGCCATCAAGCTGTTTGCCCTGCCATGTGCCACCACCTCCAGCAGCCACACGTGTGTGAACACCCCCAGCTCCTCAAGGTCGATTGGATGCATCAGGAGGAGCCAGAGCCATTCCCAGCCTCTGCTGCATTTGTGACCCGGGCAGCAGCTGCTTTCCTGGGATGGGCAAGGATCTTGTCCCCACCTGCAACTACTCCAGGGCTGGGTTTGCTGGGAACCAGGCGTTGGTGGCACTGGCTGTGAGCTGGCACCAGCTGAACAGGCTTGATGGCTGGTGCATGGCAGCACAGACATGTGCACCCTCCCTTGCCCCACTCACACCCTGATGTGCTCTGCAGCCTCCTTCTCCTGGAAAAGGAGAGAGGGTGCCCAGCACCCAGCAGGAAAGGCGATAAAACCACTAAGGGCCCCTCTTTCCTTCCACGGGAGCCGGGTCCCAACGACACGGATGTTGCAGCATGTCACCGGGTACCCGCTGGGCTCACACTTCCCCCAGCGTGGCCACAAGGGAGCACGTTGCATCAGTTCCCCCCCCCCGCCACAAGTCCCCGTCACCGTTATCCCCACCACAGCCCCTGCTCGGTGCCAACGCTGCCGAGGAGGGGCTGGCTCCCTGCTGGCAGCCCTGGGCACGGGGCCTTCGGCCTCAGCCACTTCCTCCTCAGTTAGATTATCTGCTGGCCAGGCTTTGTATTTTTGTAGAAGCACTAGCAGAGCGGGGCCCGGGGGCAGTGTGCTGTCCCCTCCCCCACTCTCTGTACAGCTTGTCACCATATTAAACACCCCACAACTTTGAGAACTACTCACACTTTCAGTGGTTCCTCTTGCTTTACGTGTGTGCGGAGGCTCCAGGTGGCTCAGGACAGGTTCCTACTCCTGGAGAGCAATGGGATGGCACCATGGTGCCCAGCTGGTGGTGGGAAGGGAAGGGCAGACCCTCCCTGGAGAGCCAGGGAGACTGAGCCAGGCTCTGCAAAGGCTGGCTGCTCCCTAAAGGTCAGGGAGCTGGAAGCTGAGATCAATAACAGACCCATCAACGAGCAAGCAGGACAGGCTGGGGGTCATGGCTGGGTTTACCAAGAGTCCAGATCATCTGGCAGGTCCACAAGTGACGAGGTAGGGCTGAGGTCAAGCTGGGAAGCTGTTGGGTCAGGGTCTGGCTGGGTGGGTCCATGGCCAGGCAGGGCTGGAGACCAACATCCCCCTCCCCAGCACAGCAGAGAAGGGAGAGAGCTCAGGGTTGGGCTTAAATAGAGCCCCTGCCCCACAGGTGGGGGCCCAGCTGAGGCTGGTCAGGGCCGTCTAGGGCTGGTGGTACCTCCATGGCCCTGGTGCTGCTGTCCCTGTGGGGCTGTCCCCAGGGACACTGCAGGAGATGTGGAGGCAGCTGCCCTGCTCATGGCCAGCCCAGGGCCCTGTCCCAAACCCCGCGGTGGGGGCAAAGCCCCGTGGTGGCACCCAGCCCCTCGGGCAGCAGGCAGGGCTGGGGCTGCTGGTTCTGCTGGCACGTGGCACGAGGGGACGACTGCCTGCTGTGGGGTGGCCACCAGCCACCAGTCTGCACAGCAGGACCCATCCTGGGACAAATGTCCTGTCCTGGAACACGTCACATCTTGGGACATGTCCCATCTCAGGACACACAGTCCATCCCAGGACATGTAGACCCATCCCAGGACACGCAGCCCATCTCAGGACATGTCCCATCCTGGGTAATGTGGCTCTGTCCCAGGATACATGGTGCATCCTGAGACATGTGGCCCCTGTCCTAGGACACAGAGCCCATCTCAGGACATGTCCTATCCTGGGATATACATCCCTATACTGGGACACATAGTCCCATCCCGGGACACACGGTGCATCCAGGGACTATTGGCCCCTGTCCCAGGACACAGAGCCCATCCTGGAACATGTAGACCCATCCCAGGACACACAGCCCATCTCAGGACATGTCCCATCCATGGGACACACGTCCCCATCCCAGGATACACGTCCCCATCCCAGGACATGTGGCCCCCCTCCCAGGACACAGAGCTCATCTCAGAACATGTCCCATCCATGGGGCACACGTCCCCATCCTGGGACACACATCCTCATCCCAGGACACACGTTCTCATCCCAGGACACCCGTCCCGTTCCAGGACACCCATCCCATCTCAGGAGATGTCCCATCCATGGGACACACGTCCCCATCCCCCCCCCAACCCTCTCCCCCCGGTTGTCCCGGGCAGCTTCCAACCGGCGGCAGAGCACCGGGGAACCACCGTCCTGCACGACACCATCAGCACCCGCCCGCAGCCCCTGCCAGGTGAGGCACGGCGGGGGAGGGCACCCACTGCACCCCCCGGTCCCCACCGGGATGGGGACGGGGTCGGGGATGGGGACGGGGATAGGGACGGGTATGGGGACGGGGACGGTGCTCCCCGCTGACCTACCCACCCCCCCAACCCACCCCAGCAAGACACTTTGACACCAAGACGACGGAGCCCATCAGCTTCTTCTTGTCCGGCCTGGAGGAGCTGCTGGCCTGGCAACCCGACAGCAACGATGACTTCAACGTCGCCGCCGTCCCCCTGGCCAAGCGTCAGCCCCCGCTCCACAGCAGGAGGCCCCGGACGCTGGTGTGTCACGACATGCGTGGCGGGTACCTGGAGGACAGGTAGGTTGCCAGGAGGAGAGGGGATGTGGCAGCCAGGCTCAGCGCCTCAACCCCCAAACCTCTTCTAGCTCTGCTTCTTCTCCTTCCTGCTGCTTGGCCGCTGATGGACGTGATGGAGGGTTTGGTTCTTGGCCCCAGAGCACAGTGTCCTCACTCAGGCCAGCCCTAGGAGGAGTCTGAACTGGGACCAGTTCTGTTTAGTGTCTTCATCAGTGACATAGACAGTGGGATTGAGGGCTCCCTCAGCAAGTTTGTGGGTGACACCAAGATGAGTGGTGCAGTTGACACACCAGAGGGACGGGATGCCATCCAGAGGGACCTGGACAGGCTCAAGAAGTGAGAACCCTCCTGGGGTTCAACAAGGCCAAGTGCAAGGTCCTGTGCCTGGGTGTGGGCAGCCCCCAGTGTCAGCACAGGTCAGGGATGGAGGGATGGAGAGCAACCCTGCCGAGAAGGACTAGGGGGGTGCTGGGGGGTGAAAAGCTGGCTGTGAGCTTGGAACATGCACTGGCAGCCCAGAAAGCCCCCCTCACCCTGGGCTGCATCCCCAGCAGCGTGGCCTGCAGGGCAAGGGGGGGATTCTGCCCCTCTGCTCCACTCTGGGGAGACCCCCCTGCAGCGCTGCCTCCAGCTCTGGGGCCACCAACGTCAGAAAGACAAGGGCCCGTTGTGACATGACAAGGAGTAATGGCTTAAAACTCAAAGAGGAGAGCTCCAGACTAGATTTCAGAAAGAAATGTTTTACTCTGAGAGTGATGAGACAGTGGCCCAGGTTGCCCAGAGGTGGTGGATGCCTCATCCCTGGAAACATTCCAGGTCAGGTTGGACGGGGCTCTGAGCAACCTGATGGAGTCAAGAATGTCCCTGCCCATGGCGGGGTGGGGGGGGTGTGTTTGAACTGGATGACCTTTAAATATCCCTTCCAACCCAACCCAACCCATTCCATGATGCCATATTTTTGTGATTCCGTGGCTGAGTGCCACCACTCTGCCCAGTTCCCGGGGCGTGAGTCAGGCCCCTGCCCAGCCCCGCAGCTGCCCGCCGGCGTCCTTCCTGCATTGCCCAACCCCCTGCCCTCTCTGCCGCCGCAGGTTCATCCAGGGCTCGGCCACACGCAACCCCTACGTCTTCTACCACTGGAGGTACATCGACATCTTCGTCTACTTCAGCCACCACACCGTCACCATCCCGCCCGTGTGCTGGACCAACGCGGCGCACCGCAACGGCGTCCCCGTGCTGGGTGAGGGCAGGGCTGGTGGCTACCGGACGAGTCCTTGAGTAGCCCCCCAAGCCCACGGTGGGTTTTACCGGGGTTGCGTGTCCGACGCTGCTCTCGCCGTGTCCCCAGGCACGTTCATCACGGAGTGGACGGATGGGGAGAAGCTGTGCGAGGCGTTCCTGGCCGGCGGGCCGGAGGCGTACGGCGCCGTGGCCGAGCAGCTGGCCCGCATCGCCCGGCACTACCGCTTCGACGGCTGGCTGGTCAACATCGAGAACACGCTGAGTGTGAGCCACCATCACATCCTTGCCTGCCTCCTGCCCTGCCCTCACCCTGCCGTGGTGCTGGGACCCTCGCCCACCCCCTTTAACCTCTCCTTTCTCTCTCTCCCGGCAGCCGGCGGCGGTGGGCAACCTGCCCCCCTTCCTGCGGCACCTGACGGCGCAGGTACACAGCATGGTGCCAGGGGGGCTGGTCATCTGGTATGACAGCGTCCTGCAGAACGGCGCGCTGAGGTGGCAGAACGAGCTGACCCAGGAGAATAGGTGAGGCCCGGGCACAACCGGTGCTGGGTGGAATCGGGGGCACAAGCCCACCCCCAAACCCAGCGCCTGGGGTGGTCAGGGCACGGCTTTGCACAGCCCTCGGTGGGGTGGGCTGAGGGGACAAGCCGCAGCGTCCGCCCTGCCACCCTGCCCCTCGTCCCCAGGGTGTTCTTCGATGCCTGCGATGGGCTGTTCACCAACTACAACTGGAAGGAGGAACACCTGGAGCGGACACGAGCGCTGGCCGGGCCGCGCCACATGGATGTCTATGTCGGCATTGACGTCTTTGCCCGTGGAGACGTGATCGGTGGTGGCTTCGACACTGACAAGGTGGGTGTGAAGCCACCGGCGTGGGGCTCTGAGCTCCCTCTGATGCCTGTGTCATGCTGTGCCAGGCTGCTAGCCTTGGGGGGGCACACAGGGGTGAGGAGCAGGGGCACCCCGAGGCGCTGGGCACGGTGCAGGGAGAGGGAGCTGGGGGATCCCGGTGCTGCTGTCCCTGGAGAGGGAGATGTCACAGCACGTCCCCACGATGTTGTCCTGGCCCCACCACGGGGCCAGTGGGACCTGGGGGAGTGGGGACAGGGCAGGTGACAAGGTGACCCGCCTGGCCTGACCTGTGCTTCTCACCGCTTGTCCCTGCAGTCCCTGCGCCTGATCCGCCAGCACGGCCTCTCCGCGGCCATCTTCGCTCCCGGCTGGGTCTACGAGCACCTGGGGGAGGAAAACTTTCTTCGCAATGAGAACAAGTGAGGGCGGCTTTGGGGGGTGGGGAGCCAGGTTGAGGGGGGCTGTGGGGCGGTGGGACAGGGGTACTGGGAGACCCTGTTGCCCACTGGAACCGGGCTCTGCCCCAGCTGGGGTGGTGCTGGGGCAGTGGCTGTAGCAGGGGGTCTCTGCTCAGACCCCTGCTTTCTCCTCCAGGTTTTGGGGCTTGCTGGCCGAGTACCTGCCCACGCACAGCATCTGCACCCTGCCCCTCGCCACCTCCTTCAGCCTGGGCATGGGCACCAGCAGGTTCCTGGATGGGAAGGTGGGTATGGGGGGGACAGCTTGGCTCTGGCCAGGCAGTGGTGGGCTGGGCAGGTGGGGGTCTCTGCTCCTGGCTCCCCCTGCTCCGTTCCAGCTCACCCTTTCATGCAGGAGGAAGAGGACGGGCCCTGGTATGACCTGAGCGCGCAGGAGATCCAGCCCCTCTACCCCGAGCTGGAGGGCAGGCTGAGCACCAGCTGCTGCCTGCAGGATGCCTGGTGTGGGGGCAGCTCCCTCAGGGTGCAGGGGACCATCCCCCCCGGCGAGGAGCGTGTGGCCGTCCGGTGAGTCGGGGGAGAAGCCCCCTTGCCTGGCCAATGGCCCCCAGGGTGCAGAGAGAGCTGTGTGGCCCCGGGGCCTCGTGGTGAGCGTGCCCGGGGCTCTGCCCGCACTGCCCAGCAGACCTAACCTGATGCATCTTCTCTTTCTCTCCTCTCTCTCTGTCTTTCTGTCTCTCTCTGGGTGGATTTGGGGTCATCAGCCTTTTCTCTTTGCAGATGCCAGCGCCCCCCAAGCTCTTCTTGACCTTGCTCTACAAGCTGGAGGGGCCGCATCCCGAGGAGCTCACGGTTGCGCTGGAGATCACCACCTGGGACTCGGGTACCTGCTACGAGGGCAACATCACCTCCCTGCCCGGTGAGGACCCTGCCACCCGCCGTGTGCTCTGCAGCGAGCACCCACTGTGAGGTGCAGGACCCCCCCCCCTGACCCCGCTCCCTCCAACAGAGCCCAACGGCCGCCATCACCCCCGGTTCCTCCCGGCACCACCACCCGGCCTCGCCAAGCTCCTCGCCGCCTGTCACCGTGGCTCCCATGGCTGGACCAGCCGGTGAGTGCCCTGCCAGCACCCTGTGCCCGTGGGCGAGTGGGGGCACCCCCCCCCAGCACCGTACCTGCTCTCCCCCTTGGTTCTCAGGTGCTACGAGCTGGACCTGCAGGACTGCAGCCTGCGAGACCTCTCCTTGCTCGTGTCCCGCCACCAGCCCAGCCCGCAGGAGACACCCTTCACCTGCCTCCTCGGGGAGATCCGGGTGAGTGCCACCCGCCCCACTGCAGCCCCACGCCGGGAGGGTGGGTGGGCACCCACAGTTCTCCTCCCTGACAGTGCCACGGTTCCCTCCCCAGGTGCTGGAGGCGGCCAACGTGGCAGCCTCCCCGCCGCCGGTGCAGAGCCTGTCAACTACAACTGGAAGGAGGAACACCTGGAGCGGACACGAGCGCTGGCCGGGCCGCGCCACATGGATGTCTATGTCGGCATTGACGTCTTTGCCCGTGGAGACGTGATCGGTGGTGGCTTCGACACTGACAAGGTGGGTGTGAAGCCACCGGCGTGGGGCTCTGAGCTCCCTCTGATGCCTGTGTCATGCTGTGCCAGGCTGCTAGCCTTGGGGGGGCACACAGGGGTGAGGAGCAGGGGCACCCCGAGGCGCTGGGCACGGTGCAGGGAGAGGGAGCTGGGGGATCCCGGTGCTGCTGTCCCTGGAGAGGGAGATGTCACAGCACGTCCCCACGATGTTGTCCTGGCCCCACCACGGGGCCAGTGGGACCTGGGGGAGTGGGGACAGGGCAGGTGACAAGGTGACCCGCCTGGCCTGACCTGTGCTTCTCACCGCTTGTCCCTGCAGTCCCTGCGCCTGATCCGCCAGCACGGCCTCTCCGCGGCCATCTTCGCTCCCGGCTGGGTCTACGAGCACCTGGGGGAGGAAAACTTTCTTCGCAACGAGAACAAGTGAGGGTGGCTTTGGGGGGTGGGGAGCCAGGTTGAGGGGGGCTGTGGGGCGGTGGGACAGGGGTACTGGGAGACCCTGTTGCCCACTGGAACCGGGCTCTGCCCCAGCTGGGGTGGTGCTGGGGCAGTGGCTGTAGCAGGGGGTCTCTGCTCAGACCCCTGCTTTCTCCTCCAGGTTTTGGGGCTTGCTGGCCGAGTACCTGCCCACGCACAGCATCTGCACCCTGCCCCTCGCCACCTCCTTCAGCCTGGGCATGGGCACCAGCAGGTTCCTGGATGGGAAGGTGGGTATGGGGGGGACAGCTTGGCTCTGGCCAGGCAGTGGTGGGCTGGGCAGGTGGGGGTCTCTGCTCCTGGCTCCCCCTGCTCCGTTCCAGCTCACCCTTTCATGCAGGAGGAAGAGGACGGGCCCTGGTATGACCTGAGCGCGCAGGAGATCCAGCCCCTCTACCCCGAGCTGGAGGGCAGGCTGAGCACCAGCTGCTGCCTGCAGGATGCCTGGTGTGGGGGCAGCTCCCTCAGGGTGCAGGGGACCATCCCCCCCGGCGAGGAGCGCGTGGCTGTCCGGTGAGTCGGGGGAGAAGCCCCCTTGCCTGGCCAATGGCCCCCAGGGTGCAGAGAGAGCTGTGTGGCCCCGGGGCCTCGTGGTGAGCGTGCCCGGGGCTCTGCCCGCACTGCCCAGCAGACCTAACCTGATGCATCTTCTCTTTCTCTCCTCTCTCTCTGTCTTTCTGTCTCTCTCTGGGTGGATTTGGGGTCATCAGCCTTTTCTCTTTGCAGATGCCAGCGCCCCCCAAGCTCTTCTTGACCTTGCTCTACAAGCTGGAGGGGCCGCATCCCGAGGAGCTCACGGTTGCGCTGGAGATCACCACCTGGGACTCGGGTACCTGCTACGAGGGCAACATCACCTCCCTGCCCGGTGAGGACCCTGCCACCCGCCGTGTGCTCTGCAGCGAGCACCCCC